TCCAGAGAAGAAACTGTCCCTCGTAGGGATTGGTGATGTGCTCAGGCTCAGTCAGGCTGGTAGGAAGTGTCGGGGCTGGTACTGGGTGCCTCACTCAGAGCATGCCGCCTCCCCCCACTCTCTACTTGGTCTAGAAAGCAGTCTCCAGGATATAAGATCTCTAAGAGCCCTGAGTTGGGTTCCCTGATACCTTCAAAGGGTAATTGGGGAATTCTATGGTAATTTACCGCTCATATAGGCAAAAAAAAGAAAAAAAAATCAGATTTGGCTTTGTAGAGCTTTACTGTATTTAATCACATGCAAATAAGTGATGATTGTGAATATATATTATGCACACTATGTAGATTTTTGTGATGAGTTTTAAAAGTCAGAACCCAGTGAAGCCTATTTTATATCAGTAATGCTTAATTTCAGCATAGGGGCTTGGGATTTAGCTCAGCAGTAGAATACTTGCCTAACAAGCTGGAACCCTGGGTTCAGTCGTCGGCACTAAAAACAAAAAATAAACCTACCCTTAATGTCAGCCTGGAACTGGGGAGATAACTCAGTAGAATAAGTGCTTGCCTTGCAAGTGTAAGGGTCTGAGTTCAATCCCTGGTTCTGAAAAAAAAAAGAAAAAAAAAATTAATAATCATAATAACTTCAGCCTAATCTCAAAAGTATTTTACTAAGTTGTGGTAACATAAAATAATCTATTCTTTGAAATCATTTATTTATTAAGCAAACATTGTGTACCAAGCGCTGTTGTAATCTCCATATGTACAGTAATTTGTTGGTGTTTTTTTTTTTTTTTTTTTTTTTGTGGAACCAGGGATTAAACTCAGGCCCTTGCGCTTGCCAGGGAAGCGCTTATTCTACTGAGCCATCTCCCCGGCACCCCCTGTACAGTGATTTGTGCCCTAGTGTAATTTACATTCATATACGGATTAGAGACTTAAATCAGGAGGACAGGTGCCACAGACGGGTGTATGTGTGGTGGGAATGGGGGTCCAACAGGTAGGGAGAGACTGGCAGTGCACAAGAGGGGAGCCTAAGCTAGGTTTGGTAGCATTGCTACAGTGCTGAAGGGCGTGTGTGTGTGTGTGTGTGTGTGTGTGTGTGTGTGTGTTTAGGGCAGGGTCTCACTATGTAGATCGGACTCATGATTATCCTGTTTTCAGTATCCCAAGTGCTGGGATTACAGTTGGGCATTCTCAGTCGCCATCTCAGCATGTCCTGGGGACCGGCACAGCACACCTGGGATTGAATCCAGGCTGCTGCGCTCTGCCTGAGCAGTTGCTGTAGTCCGCGAGCTATCAGGCTGGCCCCATGGGCTGATATTTAGGCCTTTGCATTTTTGGTTTA